TTTAGATGGAGGTCAATGATAACGAACGAGTGATCGTAATCTCATCTGGTGCACCTCAAACATGCATGCAACGGGGGATAGGAGACGTGACTACTATTACTGATGAGGTGGGTGGGAAAATTCCAAGTTGGGTGAGCGCAGACTGAATTCTCCTTGAACAGTGTGCTCTGTTATGCGTACATCTCCATAAATCTTTTTTTATCATTTAGTGGTACAAGAATGGAGTGCCAGTGATTTACATAGGTATTGGGGATATGGCTAACAAAACGGCTATAGACAAGCTCACGAACGACCCCAAGAATACGATAATGGTGCCTGACATAAAGGTGAGTTTGTGTAAATTCTGTACTCAATTAATTTTTACTGCAACTGTTCATGTTCAGGATAAAACGCCAGATGAACTTGGGAAGGTTGCGGATGAGGCGGGGAAACAAGTGACGGCAGCACCACCGAAGCAACCGACAACCTCAGTGACAACGCAGCAGCATAGTAGCGGCAAGCCCGGAACCACAATGAAAGAACAGACAACAACAACAACGACAACAAGTACAACAACAACTACTAAGCTGGCGCCGAGCCCAGCACCTGTGAGATAGTTCTCAATGTGTTGTGAACTGGATTTGAGACTTTTTGCTGAAACACAAGGCTGTTGCCCGTTCCCAGCTGAATGCTGGGTGCCTGGTCAGGAGCCGAATCACAGAGTTGTGTCTCTGGCTGTGACTTCCTAAACACGTATCTGATAACTTATGACTGCTAACAATAGGAGAAACAGTCTTGCTCATGCCGCTGTTTGGTTGCGCGCCACATCAGCTTGAACATCGCAGAGAGGGGCGGAAAAAAGGGCTGTTGCCCATTTTTCACTTTAAGGGTCAAGACTCTGATAGATGTTATCCGGGAAATTACTCTGATAGCTGTCTAACAGCATGTAATGCATGTACAGAATTTCGAAATTTCAGACCACTTCCCCTTATAAGACGAAGTCGATTGCCTTCATAGTTGAGACTACAACGCCAGCTGCAAGAGCGGCATGGAACAATGTAAGTTGACTTGAGTTTTTTTCTCTCGGAAAACTTGAAAGCAGGCGTTCAAGAATGATGACTGACACCGCCCAACGTCTACTGAAAACGTAGCGAATGATCCGGCAGTGAAGAAAAAAACGGGAAAACCCGTCGAAAATGTCCCATATAGAGCCTCATGCTGAACCGCGTTAATACGTGCATAGGGCAGAAAAAAGGCGTGGACGGACGAGTTTCCACTTGTTCCTGCCAACTCTTTCTCCTCTTCATCTCACTCTCACCACTCGAAATGGAAAGAGTCAGTAGCGAATCAACCGTACCATCAGCAACCGTTGGTGGTGAACGTTGGGCTTTGCGGAAGCAGTGAGCGGGGCGGCAGTCCCTGTCCCAGCGGGCGGCACCTATCTCTGGTATTTTTGAGCTGCAAAATCCTTTCATTTTATAAACCAGTAACTTTGTGTGTCGGTACCGATCGATGCAGATGTATCAATCCAATGTTTTGATTGTGATAACAGCCTCCGCTATATAAGACAACCATTCGGTACACTCCGAGCCATTGCACGAGCTGCTGGCGTGGCAGCTGGACGTGTGTGGTGCGGGGGCAGGTGGGGGTGCCGGGTGACCCTCCGCTCTGCTTCCTTCCCCTGCACGTGTTCAGCCGGACCTGAGCACGTGTAGGGTAGGGAAACAGGGGAAGAGGTTGGATGAAGGGGGAACGGGGGAGGGGGGCGGGGGGGGGGAGGGAAATGAACTCATTCCACTCTGCTCGTCCTTAATCATATTCGGCATCAAGAATCGAATCAACCATATTGAACCAGCTGACTACCAAACTGTCTTTATCAATGTGTCGAGCGATGGTGGGTGTGGGGGCGGGCAGGGAGGAGCGATGTAAACGTTACGCTTGAAAAAGCGAATAGTTACGAAATTCAATGAATTCAAAAATATGGGGACAGATTGCCACCACATGCCTATTGTGCCGTTCCTAAAACTTGCCTGTAAAATGTTGGAGTGCTTTATGCCCGACAGCCTTTGACTAGCCATAGCGACAGGTGAGCTTTCGTTTTCTAGAGGCGGTCCTGAAGCGACACGACTCAAGTGAATTTCGTGAATGCGGCGAGCGTTTCAAACGTGATGTCCCGTTTCCCCCCCCCCACCGCTTCCTGGTTTTGTATCGCGCTCTCCACGAACCAGCAAGGGTCCTTCGCTGAGGGAGGACAATCAGTGAAAGACATCATCTCATAGACCTTGTCTTATAGAGCACAAAGGTGTAGAGTTTGAGACTGTGGGCATGTATCCAGTCATTTTTTGGAGTAGAATACGAGCTCAAAAATTGGCCCTCACCTGATATAAGTGATTATAAAGTCTAAAATTCTGACAGCTAGCTCACAACAAATGATGAAAGATAATTGCAGATAGTTGAAATTGTGGTGAGAATCGTAAGCCGCGTGAACCAAGACAGAGTGGCAATTGTGTCAATGAGCTGTCCGTCTGAAATCATGGTGCCCATGGGCACCTATACCCCAGATAAAATCAGGTTACTATCATTTCGATAACATCCACTGTTGGCAAATGACTGCTAACTATTTATTTTCAAAATATATTTCATGCGGTTAAAAAAACAATTTGAATGGGTTTCGTTTTTTATCGAAGTAAGTAATGATATATTATATATAATCACTACGAAATAATTCATTCGTACCGGAAAGGAAATACCCATGTGTATGCCAAAAAAAGCGTGATGTCGAGTACTATGAAATATCCTACAATATGTGATTCGCTAGGTCTATGCGTGTATGTCTGTCTACTTTTCACGAAAATCATAACGCCGGTCACAGCAAGGGTGAGACGTTGATATCAAGATATGATGTGGTAGGGTATGGGACGGAACATCATTGGTGGGTGACAAGAACTGATACTTGTTCATGAGAATTGATAAGGGGCTCTGAAAAATGAGGGTCACCATATTCATGAGCGCTCTTCCAGCAAGGTGTGGGTTCCAAGGTATGATGTATGGTATGAGACCAACATTATTGGTGAATATTACGGAGTGGTATCGGCTGATAGGATCCGATAAAGGACATTAGAATCCAAGAATCATCTGATTCCTAGCACACATCACAGCTACAGTAGGCAGCTGGTTCCAGCAGGTGATATAATGGAGTTTCAGCGATAGGGACATTGGAGAGGGGTGACAAGTTGTTATACCTATTGATAATAGTAGGCCAGAGATTATCCCTTGATTTCTTACCACTATAGCGTCAGTATTCAGTATGCAGCCTCGTGTGTAATAAACTCATTTTTACCTTGGGAGGGGGGAACAACCATTTCAACATAATCTCTTCAAACCACGTGATCTCCAGCTTCCCCACCAATTGGTAATCGCCTCGCAAGTGTCCGTATATCTTTGATGCTGATGCTACAGGTGATCACTTTAGTAGTTCACCACAAGCAAATAACTTTAGCAAATGAGAATTTGGCGAGATTCCTGGAGAAACATCTTTTGGAGAAAATTTTTCAGAGAATGGGAAATTTTCCTCCTGCTATCACACTTCTCTAGCAGCCCAGTCACACAATTCTTCTACCCCATGCTTGAAACAAAATTATCAGAATCTTTAAAGATTATATAAATCTTCTCCGAGATGCATGATTTTGAGGGTTAAAATAATATATGAGAACTCAGCAAGCGTCTAATATAGTAAAGCAAAAACAGTATTCCAGAAATGATCTGACAACGTACAATCGCAACGGTGACGAGATCGCTGTGTATCAAGCTTTCACATTCGCTAGAATGCTTCTGAAGGTAAGTGCTTCCTATCATTAGGTAGACTGGAACACAGAAGTTTGACCAAAGCACTGGCGTAGTTTCTGATCCTTATAATAATGAATCATTCTTGGACTGCGTCCACTTATCTTTTCACCGCACAGGGCGAGGGAAACCTCCAATAATGTGTCTCTGAGGAAGGGGCGGGGAGGGGGGGCGTAGATCCAGAGGTCACTGTTTGAAGAAAAAAAGCACGATAATCTCGCAAGCATGTAAGATGAACACGCCGATCACCAAAGAGACACCCCCTCCCCTGAGAAAGCCTTACATGGTGTCTTTTCCAACGAAAGTGGTCTCCAAACATCCCAGCAAGGCGTACCAACCGTACTCCCTCCAACAACGACATATCCACATCATCAGCCATTGATCACCATCGGATCAGCTCTTTTCATCCACAATAGCTGGCAGGATGGCACTTTTCTCCTTCTTCAGAGTCCATTCTGAAGAAGTAGGTCTTATTGGTAAAG